TGTGAAAATGTAATGACTAGAGGTCAGAAGTAGGAAGAAAAATAAGTAATTGAGTAAAGTATAGATACCTAAAAAGTGTACTTAAGTACAGTAACGAAGTATTTGTACTTTGTTACTTGACACCTCTGCTGTCATATTTGTGAAGCTGAAAAGTGATGCTTCTTTTTTTTTCTTCTATATTTTACAAATAAAAATCTTCTAGTTTTGAACTTTTTCCTGTTGAATCCGGCTGAGTAAGTAGCGTTTTAACTAGGGATGCACCAATCCACTTTTTTCACCTCTGATACCATACCGATATTTGAAGTTTAAAACCGATCTGATACCAATACCAAAAACAGCAGTGAATTATTGGTTAAAAAATAATTTTATTGTGTGGGGGGAAAAAAAATGGATCATTCTTCTTTGCATAGGATTTGACTTCCCTTTTCTTAAAAAAATTGGAAACAACCCAAATATAAATGTTATCACTCATTTATTTAACAACTGTGCACAAAATCTTAAACCAAAAGTTCTCTGACTTGGTCAACATGTAAAAAAAAAAAAAGTTTCATCATTATCAAGTATCATCTCTGTGATTTTTTTACTGTTACATGGAAAAATTTCACTTCTCATATTTGCTTCCACAGAAGTTAGCTGCTTCCTTTTGGTTTGTCGAGTCCGATAATCTCAGCATGTTGTTATGAAACTTCTGAAGATGTTTCATTAAGTCGGTGTAGTTATAGTTTGAAGATTTAACACCGCCCCTCGGAACATTTCTTCCACAAATATTGCACGTAGCCATTGGGCTAGTAGGCTGAGAGAGCGTGAAAAACCTCCACACCTTTCGCTCGCTCCTTCGTAAACAATATGACCGTGTTGTATTCTTGTGCTGCCGCATGACGGCAGAGCAAAGCATAGAGTTGGAATTAAGTAGGGATGCACGATATTGGGACTTTGGCCGATATTTTAAAACTCATGTAGCCGATAACCGATATCGATACCGATGTTAAAGCTGGACAAAAATAAGTAGTCATTGAAAATAGCAGTTTTGTTATCCATTTCTGACACTTTTAAAAATAAACTCAAATATATTTTTATATGGTGATATCAAATTGATTTTTAAAAAGGCGGTATCGATCTAT